GTGGCAGACACCATCCTAAGGACAGAACACAAATGTGGGGGCAGATTGCGTAAAGGCAAGTATAATGATTTCTGCTCCAAGAGGAAGTTAGATTTGTTCTTTCCGACCTTTGACAGAACCAAAGAAAGGTCAGATTGGAGACCAGAGGGGGCAGAGGGTTGCGCTGTACCCGATACTCTCCACAGTCACACTGTACTTACTCTGTCTAAATCGGAATGCTACTAAAAAGTCATGAACTTGAAACGTGGACATCTCTGGGAGAATCCGCTACCGAGCTCGAACAAAAGAGAACTTAAGGGATCAGCTTCCATGCAAGATGATTCCTCTGATGTCCTGATAGGTGGACACCGCTCTTTTCTCCGACACCTTGTGGAATATCATGTGGCCATCACGTCGGCTCTAAATTTGACTACTTGTAGTAGACGATTGTTTTCTGGAGGGAAAGGTAGACACTATTCGATACGGATATTCGATATGATCGAACTGACTGTAGTCATTTTTGTACTTGTATTCGATAGGGACAGATATATAATATTGTTGTAGTCTGGAGAAAACCAAATGGACAACTGGTCGACCTCATTACACAGAAACTAAGTGGTGAATTATCCTGATATTTTGCATGCGCCTTTGAATTCCGAAAAAAAACCCTAAACAATCTTGATTTTCCTGCACATGCGACAAAAATAAAGAGGTGTTTTGTATATAATATGATCATTAGTATTTAATTACAGTCTGTGCAGGTATTTTTTATTAGACCAAGAACGGTAGTTAAGTGTTATTATTTATTTCTTTCTTTTAAAAAAAAAATATTACGGACCGCAAGACTGAGTTGTTTTCAGTTTTCAATCCAGTGGCTAGTGGTTTGACAGTAGGTTGTTTTTTTATTGACTCGTTGTGATATACATAATGAGTAAAATTTCTTTGATATCTTCCGTCATTGAGATTGCATGCATTTCGATTTGCTGTCGCCTTTTCATTAATCTACATAGTTAGATTACTTACAACCCCCCAAAAAAACTTTGCCTTAAAACTACTGAACCATTTCTCCAAAGAAGCTGATCGAGGCCATCTTTTTTATTCTATAACAAATCCCGAAAAAAGAACAAGACATGCATGTGTAAAAAAAAAAAGGG